GTGTGGTTTGATGCACCTATAGGGTAAGCTAGTTCCCTGGCTTTGTTGTTGGTGTTTGAAAGGTGCTGTTATCTGAGCATGTCATTTCCTATCTACTGAAAATGTTTCATTGGTCCGATCACTCCGAGCGTGACTTTTTTAAATGCTTTCATCCCAATGAGGCGGCGTGGTCGAGTGGTTAGGGTGCTAGACTTGTAATCTGGTGGTCCCGGGTTCAAGTCCCTCACTCTGACACTCACTAGATTTGTTCTCGGTCGCCCCTAGTTCAACTCATTGGCCACGCTCTGTAAATAGCCAACTGGTCTGCCTCCTACTAGTTTGATTTTTAATCAATTATGTTCATTTACAGAGTTCGTGTGTTTTTTATTGTCCCTTAAAAGCCCCATTAGGGGAGTGATCAATTAAGATTATTATTATCATTATCATTATCATTATCATTATCATTATCATTATCATTGTTATTGTCATTGTCATTATCACTATCACTGTCATTGTCATTGCCATTGTCATTGTCAATGTCATTGTCATTGCTATTGTCATTGTCATTATCATTATCGTTATCACTGTCATTGTCATTGTCATTGTCATTATCATCATTATCATTATCATTAGTCATCACTATTATTATTATTTTTGTTAACGAAATGGTGACGTGAAACTGCTGTGTTTTTCATCGTTTGGCTGTTGTTGGTGTTTCAGGTATCTTTCTATCACAGCTAACTACACGAATGAGTGGGAGAAATGGTGGAAAAACCCTGAGCAAGTGAGTAAAAAGACAAACCACCCTCAACTCCACCTAGTTCTCCTTAGAGTGCTTTTCGATTGAGTGTCGTAAAACCAAAACCGAATTGATCACAACGGCCAATCAGAATAAAAGAAAACATTAGAATTCATAGTAATTTCATGTAACCGACCTGAAGCGCGGGAAAACGCGCGTGGCTAAGTCGCGATTGGTTTTAGTTTTGCATCTGATTGGTCGAGAGGATGGCGCAAATTTTTTTGACC